TTCCAGCCCTCAGTCTTGCAGTCCTCAGTCTTCCACCGCACCGACCTGAGTAGCGTCGGCAGCCAGTCCTCGGGTACCTGGGCCAAGAGCCCCTCCAACTCCGACGGGTCTATCGGCCGGGTGACAGCCACGATGACGTCGTCCACCTCGTCCCGACGCTGCATCTCACCAACCCCGTTCAGGATGGCGTGCAGGCGTTCGCCAAAGATATCGCGGAACAGCGCGTCCACAGCCTCGGGCTTGTCTCGAGGCCCGTCGCGGTCCAGCCGGCGCCGTAGAGTGCTCAGCAGCGCCGCCTCCGCGCGAGCGTCGCTCGTGGGCCCCTCCTTCGGGCGCCACACCATCATCCGGTCCCACTGCTGGAACCAGTCGTAGTTCTCGCCCTTCACAATCGTCGTCTTCATCGTCAACGGCGTTCGCTCGGCGACCGTCTCCAAGTCCACCTTAAACGCCGTCTTGGGCGCCAACACCAAAGCCGTCACCTCGCCGGCACCGCCTGCGCGCATCGTAACCACCCGCGCCATACAATCGTCCAACTTCGTCTGGCTGCCATCCGGACGGATCAATACTGACAACAACTCGCTCCCTGGCACGCCGCTAGACTCACACTTCAAAGCGTGCATTTTCGAAGAACCGGGAAAAAGGAAAGTTCTACCACACTTGGATCTGCGTCAGGCGTCGTCTTTGAGGTGAGATGGTTCGTCGCTCGCGGGGTAGCTCCTCTGTGTCGCTCATTGGGCCATCATGTTTGGGTGTGGCTGCCATCATTTTGTTTATTCCAAAAAAACTCTGGTGTGTGTGGATACAACACGCACATGACAAGCGATGACACTCGCCTACGACAGACCACAGCCTTCCTCGACTAGAACATAACGGGTTCCTCACGCGCGCTGACCAGGTCGTCATGGTCTCGTTCACTCTCCATGTGCTTTCGTTTCCTAGGGACTTCACAAGAACCCATTACTTCCTCCGCGGTTCTCAACAACCAACTCCGGAATTCTCTGAGGCTGCGGCACTCCGTGGATCCAATGCCTCGCCTCCGCGGCAGAAACCCTGACCACGTTCATACCATGTTGGAGCTCAACAGGTTGTGCACACAGCGTGTTGTGCTCTTTTGCGACCACCTGGCACGGCACTGACCACTTAGCCACAACCTAGTGTAGAGAACGGAGTATCCTAGAGAACGGAGTATCCTAGAGAACGGAGTATCCTAGAGAACGGAGTATCTTGACAAGCTTATTTCAGCACTGTCGGGAAACGCAACTCCAAAAGTGTATCTACTCTAACAACTTCCAGCGGTATCAAAGGCAGCTCATTTGAGTGCTTCACGTCCGTCCCTACCAACGCCACCACCGGCGCCAGCCCGGTTGCCGGGCGCGGGGTGTTGTTGTGTGCGATCACAGCAGAACTCACAGCTTCGCGCAACTCCGAACCACTCCATACGTCTGCTCCGTGCAACGCAACTCCAGAAGTGCGTCTACTCTAACAGCTTCCAGCCTCATCAACACACACTGAAATTCCTGTGCCCATTCCAAATGAACTTCTTCAACGTTTGGTAGTCAATATTTGGTCACCCAGCACAGTGTCCACCGGACGCTCTTTGGTAGCCAAAGTCGTCCCGAACAACGTCACCTGTTTCCTGGTAAACAAGCCTCTGATGGCACCAGCGCCAGCCTCCTCTAACCCGAACCGACGAGCGAGGTCGCCACTCACGATAGATGTAGTTGCGACCGTGTCTAAAAGTGCTCCCACTACCACTCACTCCCTTCGTGACTCTCGCAGCCTCTAACGTGTCTACAAACTTGGCCACCTGGGTAGCTTCCCTCACTTCTCCATCTCCCATGACCGCGGCCGGTCGAGCACTCGTTTTTTTCTTTTCTTGGCGTTCCATGTCGACTGTGCGTTTCTCCTTCCAGCTGATTAATCTCCGTCGCCACTCCTAAACAGGCATCGTAAAGGGCCTTCCTTGAGTCCAGCGTCGGTGTGGTAATAATCAGTTGGTTGCCCTTCTTGTACTTCTCGATTCCCAGGCTGCCATACTTGTTGTCAAACACCCGAACCCGACAATCTTTTGATCCGTCTCGTGCGAGTCACTACACTCCAAGTTCTTCGTCGGGCACCCATTAGCCCTGTGACCTTCTTGTGACACCTGTAGCATTCAACCGACGAGTGTGGTTGGCTCTGCCTCAACAGGCTCAGAGCCCCTCAACCAAGCCATTCGAGACGTCGGCGGCTTAGTCACTGCTTTCGGGGATGTGTGCCATTAGTGACGTGGCTACCACCCGTCGTTCCTTGCAGGATTACTTATTCAGTCACTGTGCCCTTTCTTGTGGCCCTCTGCTTAGTAGATTTGGTCGCGAGGGACGTGGGATCCGTAGTCGAAGTGTCCTTGGAGACGTGACTCTGTGGCATTAGTGGCGTGGCTATCACGGCCGTCCCAGTGATGGAACCAGTCGTAGTTCTCGCCCTCCACCACTACCGTCTCGTCCGCTCGCTCGCAGCCCACCAAAGCTGTCACATCTCCGCCGCCCGCGCGTATCGTCACTACCTGAGCCACACAACGATCCAATTCCGTTCGACTACCATCCGGAAGAATCAGCACCGACAACAATTCACTTCCCGACACACCACTCGCTTCACTCTTGAAGGACCCCCTACAACCTGTTGCATCGACAGCAGTCACGCGTCAACTCATTTTACAGAACGGCAAACGAAACCAAATCGAAGGGTGGCCCCGCGGTAGTGTAGAGTCGCACGACTTATTACCACCAATGCAAGGCTACAGCGGAGCTGTGGGTTGTTCAAGATGGGTTCGGCGTCTCTGTTGATGGCTGCGATGGCAGGTCACCGACCACGAACAACCCACAGGTTTTTCTGAGTACGACGGCACCGAAGATTTGATCGTTTTCTCCTTAGACGACTGGTTTGTGAACACGGGCGCTGGGGCGAGCCTGTTTGATGTGCTGCAGAAGATAGCCGACCATTACAAGGTGGCGCTAGCTACAACTGCGAGCTCTCTCGGCCCGGCACGAAACTGACGACGCGATTCCACAGCAAGCGGCTGAAGGACGCCCAGCGTCGGAAGAGAGCGGCAGCGGAAGCCGCTGAGATGCGGACTAGCGACGACGCAGAAGCCGAGTTGCCGACAGAGCCTTCCTGACACGGACAACAAGGTTGAAACAGCCTTACTCTGGATCGCACAGAACATCGGATGAAGATCCAGGAGAGGAAGTCCCGAGGAATCGTCTACGCACCGGCCCCACCAGCAAGAAGAAGCTGTAAAGCTTCACAGGGATGTGCGACTATCTGAGGCCCTTCATCCCACGGTTTTCACACATCACGGCGCCGCTATTCCTCCTGCTTGAAGAAAGATGCTTTCTGACTATGGCAAGTATGTCATGGACCACGACGCGTCCGAGCTAGGGGTTGGGGGCTGTACTCAAAGAGTGCAAGAGTACCCATCGAGTTCGCTGGCAAGAAGTTCAACCCCACGGAGTCGCGCTGGGACACGAGAGAAGGGGAGTTGTTCGCGGTCAAGTGGGCCGTCGAGAAGTGGCGAGAATACGTCGGCCTCTCGCACTTCACGGTCAGGGCGGACCACAACAACCTACGGTACCTCACCGGCGTGGGCAAGGGCAAGCGAGGTCTTCAGATTCGCACTCGCACTCAGTGACTACGACTTCACCATCGAATTCATCTCAACAACTGGCTCAGCGGATGCGCCGGCGGCGACGAAGGAGACTACTGGACCGAATATCACTGAAGGTCGCAGCAGTGTGGGCCCCTCGATTGCTCAAGCTCCCTGCACCCCCAAAAACGGAAGACGCGCGCAACCGACGATCGCCATACCACCTTGGCCACCTGGGGGGATCGGCAACCTGGGGATCGGGAAGACGTCCAAGAGGGTCCAAGCCCTGTATTATAGCACCCAGAAAAATGAGCAGAGAGTTCCTCATCTGCGCGAGACTGAAGACACCCACCGGTGTCCCGTTCGGCCCCCCGCGAGAATAGCACTAACGTACCAATTGGGGCGTAAGCACTTGAGCGCCGCGCCGTACCGACCACAAAGCAACGGAATTAATGAAGCTTCTTACCAAGAAGTACACAACGTACTCAAGACCCTATGGCAAGAAGGCGTCAGGGACATGGAACTGATGGTGGAGGCAGCCACCCGGCTGCACAACGCAACGCCCACGCCGCGATAAACACGTCCCTGTACGCGACCGGCTTCGGCAAATTCCCCATCCTGGACAAAATGCAGGCCAAGACCCCACTGAGATCGGAACAAGAGCGCAAGCAGGGCGTGCGGAGTTGGCTGTGGTTGAGGCCCGGAGGCGAAGGTCTATAATTGCCAGGAGTTAGTAGCCGGGGGCGGCACTGAGTTTGGGCGACACGGCCGGTGGGTGTGATACTGTGACCCGGGCGGGGTAGAACACATTTCCCGCCGAGCAAGAGACGTCGATGATAGGGGCGTATGTCCCACGCGAATCACTGTGTTGGAATAGAGTATGGACCCAGGTTGTGCGGGTCAAGAGGGAGAGCGGCACGGGTGAAGACGAGCTGACAGGCAAAAGGATAGAAGCGAGAGGACCCATGAGCCCCTCGGCAGGCGGTCCTGAACTGGTGCGTGAGGAAGACCGCAGAGTAGGGGACGTGCACGAGCTGTGAGGCTTTTAAAAGAGTGCAACAATAAATGCTCCGAGAGCGTACGGTGGAGTCCCTCCTCAGAAACCCACTGCTAGGAAGACCGACCGGCCTGCAGCCAGGAGACCTCGTTCGCCGACCCAGGCATCGCCCCGGACCGGAGACGCGAAGGTGGTTCGTGCCCAAATGGTTTCTCCCCGTACGGCACCCAGGTCGAGGTGAAAGATGCAACCAGTCTGGCTCAACGTTCCGTTTTCTTTACACCAGGAGGTTTAAGCGAAGCGAGGGCCCTCAATTCACTCCCCCGATGTAAACCAACCAACTACCTGACAGTGACGCCAGATT